ATAACAATAAGTTCTTAATTCAAGTATATGTTCATTTTCGTATGTATCTTCTGAGCCGTTACAGTATGATGAAAATAATTATCTAGTTACGTTCCAAAAACAGGATTATTGGCTATGATATAGAAAAATCGTTTTCATGTTTCTCCTCTTCGGCGCATAGAGTCCATCCTGTACGAAGAGGTAAGACATACTCGGAAAATCCGCGCCCATTAGTTTATATTAATACGAACATAAATCGGTATACCCGTGCCCATTTTAAATTTTATTCGTTTTTGTTTAATGTTGTAGAGAAAGTTGTGCATGAAGAACTCATCAAGCGAGATGATTCAAGTGCTTATTTAGCACTCATATCAAGACTTTCTAATATTTCAGTCTCGTCTATATCCATCTCAGAATTTTGAGAGTCTTGTTCTAATTCTGCAAGTTCTGAGTCAACTTCTTCGTCATCATTGTCATCACTAGTATGTTTGGCCTATTTATTTTTGATGATTACTTTATCTATTGATGACTCTTAGGCACAGGACTCCCTGGATTCCTAGGATTCCCATGGGATTCCCGGGATTCCCATGATTCCCGGGATTCCCAGGATTCCCGTGGGATTCCCTGGATTCCCTGGATTCCCATTGGATTCCCAGGATTTCCAAGATTCCCAGGATTCCCATGGGATTCCCTTGGGATTCGGAATCCCGGGAATCCGCCGTTTCCCCCTTGATCAAATGGCTATAATAGCACATCCAAATCGTGTAAGTGATGTACGTGCAAGTTATGATGGACAATATTTATTTACAAGTAGTGGACTTAATAATGTTGTACACATGCTACGTGTTAATCCACAAGTATTTACAAGCACAAGCACAATTAAGTGGAAAATATTTAATACCATTTTATAAATTATTAGAAGGTAGAAGAGATGGTGAAATATTTCGATAAATGGAAAATTTATTTTATTGTAGTCAATCAAGACAGTAAATTTATTTATTTATTGACAAATAATCAAAATTATTATTTATTTATTTTAGTCAAGATATAAATCGTTTTGATCGTCGAGAAGTAACACAAAAAATTCTATTAAGTGAAATTCCATTTGTCATGAGAGCATTAGGTTATTATTCAACTGAATAAGAAGTAATTATTATTAATAAATATATATATTATTTAAAATATTTCAATTTCTGTTGTTTTTTTTTATTAGATTGAAGAAATGCTTAATGAAGTTAAATTTAATACTTATATTGATACAAAATACTCATGTTGAAGATATTGATCTGAATGATTTTATTAAATGTAAAAGAACATTTTCTTTTATTTTTTTAAATAATATTTTAATAAACTTATTTATTTATGTATTTCTAGTATATATAAATCATCTACCAGCATTTGGTCTTAATCCAGCTGACCTTAATCAAGCATTTAATGGTCTTTCTGATCGATTAAATCCTGATAATAATCAACCGCAAATAACTCGTGAAAATCTTTTATTTCTTTTACAACAATATGGTGAACATATGAATGATTATGAAATGGCGGATTGTTTAGGTAATTTACTTCATTAAATAATGAATCAACTGAAATGTTTGATACAATGAATGTTGAAGATGCTTGTAATATTGATTTGATTTTTCTTTAAAAAAAAGATATAAGTTCTTTTTATATTTAATTAGATCAATATATTGGTAATCAATTCCCTGAATAAGTAACAATAGAAATATTTATGGAAGATTTATTAAAAATGCCATCACAATATGTTGATCAAGTTATTTATCCTATTCAAGCACAACAACAACAGCGATTATCATTAATTCCACAAAGAGAAAAAAGGGATCCGTTTCAGTTGAACAACAGCAACATGCTCGTTCAGCTATGACACCAACAACATGTAGTAACACATTAGTTTCAAATGATTCTTAAATAATTACATATTTCTTTTTATATTTATATTCATTAAATATAATAAAACTGAAAAAATCATACCTCTCATGTATATATTTTCCCAAAATGAAAACAACTTTATTACAATTAGAGAGAAGATAGAGGGATTTCAGATCTGACATTGAGGGTCATAACCATTCTGTGTCTACAAGTGACCATTTATTTTTTATCGTATGTTTATGTTAAATACAAAAAAAGTTGATATGACATGAAATAAAAAATACATAATCCTTCGTTCTATATTACAATAACAGTTTCAGTTTGTCGTTCATTTAAAGTCTTCACGAAAGAATAATCGATTTGGTGATATCCATCGTCTGCCTTGTGTTTTATCATCAAATTCAGTCATCCATTCATTTTTTAAACCAAATCTGATTAATTTTGCTGGATATAACTACAATACACAAAAAAAAAATAATAACAAATAAGTGATAAAGTTGAGTTACTAACTTTAGCATCATTCAATAATACCAATACTTTATCGCCAACACGAAATACTTTTGGATTATTTGCTGGTGGATGGTTGTTTGAACTAAAATTAAACATGAGAATTTGCAGAATATGAGGAAACCTATGTACATTGATATCTATGATCGGATACAGGACAGAATTTAGCATACATACCTATTGTTAATAATTGTGCATAGTTGTGAAAAAACTGTTTGAAAAATCGAAAAACTGTCAGAATCAAGTTGATGCATATGTTGTAATTCCAGAAATTCATCTAATTTATAATCTTTAGTCGTACTATGACTGACAGCATATTGTTTGATTTCCTTAGCTAAATGAAAATCATCATTTACTTCTTTCGTTTCTTGAAGGTATTTTAATAATTTTTCTTCACTAATTTTAAATTCTATCGATATATCATGGACAAGTTTGAACAAAAAAGTATATTTATTCGATAATTCGATTATATCATTTTCATACACGATACTTAATACATATTTTCGTAATGCACGTTTGTCTATTTCTTCATGTAATTTTTTGTGAGCCATGAGAAATAAATCACGAATAAGTATACGTTTTTCAAGAATTTTTTCTTTTTCAACTCTTCTCTTTTCACTTATTTCTATTTCATTGAGTTTTGTTTTAACTTGTTGTAAATTATTCCTGAATTCTTCATTTTCTTTTTCAAAATCGTTTGTCTTTTTCTAAATTAGATATGAAAAAAACTAGAATAATATAGTAATTCAAAAGTCAATAATTATTACCGAAACATGTTCGAAAATCGTGAACACAGCACTAAAACTGGACTCAAGACAATCCATAAATTCCTTAAATGCTTTTTCCAATTGTTGTGTATCAATGACTAATTCCAACCATTTATTTTTCCAATTATTAAGATTGGTTTTTAATTGATCGTGTACATCTTGTATTTGATGATCATGTTTATATTGTTCTGATGAACGAAAATCATTTTTTATTGCATCAATTAATTCGTCATATAATTTTATTATCATATCACATTCATTTTGTTGTTGATGAAGTCCTTTTATTTGATTTTCGTACAAGTTGCATAAAGCTTTTTTCACTGATGTGCTAATAAAAGCTTCATTTTCAATGCGATCAATCATATACGAAGTTTGTGTTGTTGTTGACATATTTATAATGAACCTGTAAATTATTATTACAAAATAAAAATAAAATGATTTTTTTTTATGCCAATCTTTGTCCCTTACGATGATAAGATATAAACAATTACAACCAATCAAACTGCAGCTCCCAGGGCAAAAAAGCACGATCGTAAACGGTCGTATACGACGAAATACGTCTAGAAACGGCCATCGTACACGACGATCGTATACGATGAACGTATACGGTGCCATACGTTCAAATACAATCAACGTATACGTTGAAAATAAACGACTGCCGTGCGCGCGTGTAGTATACGACTGTATATGGTCGTAAGTTAGTCGTAAGTTGAGTTGCATGTGTCGACCATATCCAGGTTGAAAAATCACATAGTAGGATCAGTTATGAATTCTTGTATGATCCTATTCGATGTTACTCAAAAATCGTACATGTTCATACAAGATGACACAAAAAATCATATGAAAAATTGTCGTCTCAGAAATCTGATATCAATTCTTCTAGCAAGTTTCTTAGATGCTCCAACACTAAAATCTGGTATGATTATAAAAAAATCGTACAGTAAGGTTTTAACTGATTTCTTTAAAAACATACATTCTCGTCATGTTTCATCTTCCATGGCAGCTATAGTTCAACTTAACTTCACATAGCCCAGATCTTTTTACTTACTGAACCCGATGCATATGTGCCTACACCGGCAGTTATCATTACATAATAAAATTCATAGCATAATAGTTACAAAAACTCATGCATAAAAAAGTTTACTCTCTATACCGTTAACAAAGAGAAATAAGAAATAAAAGTTAAGATTTTCTACATTACCAATATAGAAAAAACAAAAAACTAAAGAATATGATCTTCCGTATTGTTAATATGGAAAAGTAAGAAAAAAAATGGGACTTTTTGTACTACTAATATAGAATATAATGAATTATTGCTATTAATATCATCAAATGAAATAAAAAAGTTCATAGCAACGAGCAATTCATGAAAGAATCGAGTTTATTATGAATTCTCATACGTATGAGATTGAACAGTTGCCCAGATTTTCATACCAGCTCTCACAAATGAATTTATTTGAGCTATGACACATCTATTGAAAATTCTTCTCTTCAAATATTAATTTTTTCTTTGGCAATCAACATTAAAATCTTAATTATTCTATTTCCTACATGTATTCAGCGAATATACGTCATTATACTGAGACAAAAATAAATCATAATAATATATCTTCAACTAGTAACATTTCACAAGTGTGTTGTTGAGTTTAAATGAATTTTGGTAATAGACATATTCAAAAAAAATTGTTTTATTCGATGCAATTAAAATCTTGAAATTTATTTATACAAACTTTTCTCTTAGAATATTTTTATCGAACAAACTCGAAAATTTCAATTAGCCTTTCATTCTCTTTGTTCTGTCTTGTTGCAATAAGTTGATTTTTCCATTTTCATATGATTTATTTCTATGAAGAATTTTTTTTTATTGAAATAATATTAATAAAGATAATCACTTCTAAAATAATGTACTGAAATAAAATTTCATCTATTCAATATCGGATATTATTCTTATTATTGTTGGTTGAGTTCATTCCGTTCGAACTTTATACAAATCGTTCATAGATAGAACAAATCAAGATAAAAGAAAATATATTCATTTATTTCTATAATTATACGTATATCATACGATTGAGAAGAAGACAGTGATGCGTGTCTTTATTTTATGCTTGATAATTTAATTCAAAGCAAAATCGTCATTGATTTTTTTCATAATCAAAAACTATATTCTGTATTTTTCAATTGTCATATATAAGGAATATTATTCTGTAAATAAATCGATATTTTTACGTATGTTGAATATCATACCCCGTCATGTTGTTTTAAAATATTTTATGATAATATTTGTTTGCTTATTATGAATTCTTTAATACTTCTCAATAAATTTAACATGCAAACATCAGTAGATTCAATATCTACCTATGGAAAATAGAGCAATATCTATCAGAATATCCAATAATTTCATCGATCACTATATTAGGTGTCGATTGGACATTATATTAATTATTTAAAAATCGAAATAAAATGAATAGACTACAATGAATATGAATGTTGTTCATAATTGTTATTTAAAAATTTTTGTTATTTTCTATTGTTTGATTGACATTTAGCTATGCATTTATATATTTATTTCGATTTTTGTCACCGAAAAATTTATTAAAATTAAAAATAAATATAATAATAACAAAATGTTTTGAAAACTGAGAGAAAAGTCAAATGTCGAATGTTGAATAAAATAATACTCAGATATTGTCATGGAATTGTTGTATTCAATATAAATACTAATTAATTAATCTAAGCAAAACAAAGACAATGATTTTAGATGAAAATTCAATCAAATACCCGTTTTTCTCTACGTTGCTCAGTTACATCTCTAAGTGCTTTAGTTCGTTGATGATCAACATCTTTATAATCAGATATCCATTGTTCTTGACGACAATCTATCACTGGAATTTGAAATACACGAGATTGTATTTGCGATCTTTCTCTATAATTAATATTATGTGTTGTTTGTATACTTTCTGATGGATTTAAATAACAATCAGTTAATGAATCTATTAAATAGAAATAAACAAAATAGAAGAACACGAAAAATCAATTAAATTAAATCTACCACGATTAATTGATTCCTTGTCATTATTAACCGATTGAGATAAAGCTCCAGGCATCATTGGAAAATAATCAACATCAGAATAAGATATATTTATTCGATTAACAATAGGTGGAGCATTTGAAGAAATAATAAGTTCATCTTGATTTAATGATGATCTTTCTTTATTTTTCTTTTTCTTCTTTTTTTTATTTTCATTATTATTATTAACATTTAAATCATTTGAAGATTCACTTTTTTTCATTTGATCACCATTAGGCTTTCAAAATAAAAATTAAATCAATAAATATTTCTTTAAATGTGAAAATTGACTAAAACATATTCTTTCAATTGAAAAATTTATTTCAATACCTGATATCCATGTTGGTTATGATTCAATTTAACATTATGAAGATGCTCATTGCTTCGATCTTTGGATGGAAGCCGTTTACGAATAAATGCTAACATAATTAGCAACAAAAATTGAATTTAAAATGTTTTTCTCTCTCTTGAGCAATATCAGATTAAAAGACTATGACTCATGTTTTTCAGATATTGATGAATCATGTATTTTCTGATTGGTTCATATTTAACCATTCTTTTCTTTTTCCGCTTAATTCACTATTTGCATTATCATCAATCTATACGAAACGGATCTATATATAATGAACATCTCAAATGAACAATTTTCTCAATAGAACCTCTCATTGAATTGTGAAATACTAAACAAAAAAAAAGCCCCTTTTTAATTTGTTTTATATCATGGAATCTGCGCCTATGAATACTATTAATGATTTATTTCGAGTTTTCTAGTTGCTAAAAAGCACCAAAAAGGTCGAAGCACTCTCCATCAAGATTTTCTCTTGTTAGATTTTTAGTGAATGGTAATTCGCAACCTGTCAAAAAGAAACGAATGTCAGTTTCAAGCGATATGGATAATGATATGTAGGTTTAATCGCATTTCTGAAATAGACTTTCATCCTTAAGAATACCTCCTTACCCCTTTCCCGGCGTGAAAATCAAAATTTCCTGATTTTTTGCTTTTCATCGATGTGCAACTTTGAAGTGTTCTCTATTGATCTGCGAAAAAATTTCTTTTGCAAGCTTTTAGACTTTAAAAAGAACAGTTATCGAGATCTTCTATCTCCGAAAAATCAATTTTAAACCTGTTTTTCAAAATATTTGCGCATTAGATTTAATCTGCTTGCAGCTATCTTAGTATTAGCGTATGATGACATTAAAGTAGTATGTTGAGATGCATGAGACATCGTTCGACTTCGGTCCGAGATAGCTGATTGAGTTTACTTAACATACGAACAATGTGATGCAATCGAGGATTTTCGATTTTAAATTTATATTTAGTAGTATGGGTTATTTTTATTATTTAAGGCTGTTACTAATTGTTAGTTGAAGAGTTTATATCTTCATAATGGTTCACTCTAGGCTGTTAATTCTTTCATTTACTATTTCATTTCTTTCCTTAGCAATATAAAAGAGGTATAGTTAACAAGTATATTGTTTATTTGTACCTGATTATTGACATCACATAAGCATAAGAAAAAACTATTATCTAAATGTAGAAAATTATTTCATTAAATGCATAATAGTCAAAAACCTACAAAAACTTTAAATAGAAAGGAAAGAACGTAAAGGCCCGTCGTTTCTCTGTCATAGTGAGAGGGATCAAGGTGAGATTTTCTCAAAAATAAGCAATTTGTCTTGGTAAAAACAAACGATATAAGAACATCTTAAAAAAACAGCTACGTCGAACTAGTGTCCAGCACTTGTAAAAAAAAGTTTTCAACTCAATCGAATTTACTATTTCGCAGAAACGAGAAGGAGACTTCGGTCATTTTGATTTATTATGAATCCAATATCTCAAAGAATATGCCATTCGAGAACTTTGAGTCTAGCACAATTTTGACTCTACTCTTCAAGATCTAAGTGCCCTGGAAAGATTCAAATTTTTCTAATGAACCATTTTCCAGCAAGTTATTGCAAGGATGATTTTTAAAAGGAATATTCAAAGTAAATTTATTTTTTTTTAAAAAAAGTCAAAGTGTAGATACCTATACAATGTAAATTTTTACTTCTTATTTAAGGCACTGCAAGAACAGAATATAGAAAAGTACATTATTTTGGATTTTTATAAGACATCATGACTTTAACTATATTTCAGTGACGAATTTTGATTAATACATAGCAATAACAAGTGAAAAGTTCGATGTTCGATCGATATTTTATTGGTTATTATTGAACCATTCATAGTTTGTTTTATTTTCTATGAAGGTCTTCTATTAATTTTAATAAATGAAAGAAAATTCTTCATTAAAAGAGTGTCGAATTAAATATTTATTTCTAAATA